AGGAGCGCCTGTGCCTGCGCTCAAGCCCACGGCCCGAGAGCAGCTCTGCGCTATTCCTCCTGCACACGCTGCTCCCACCTCCCCAGCTCCGCTTGTGGGGGCGAGCTGTAAATAACTCGGGAGAGATGCACTTTTGCACCACATTTATTTACTGGCTACTTCAAGGGGGACAAAGTCCCTGGGAAAACTCTCCAAAGGGTTTGCTCTGCCACTGGACACGCTGACCCCCTCACTCTGCTCGTCCTCTCCTCTTGCCCCTGGCCCACTGGCGGAGGGCAGCCCCCGGCTGGGTGCCGGCAAACAGAAATTTGGGGTGTCCTGCAGTTTGGTGTCAGCATATCATTGAGCTCTGCGCTAACCAAACTCCAGCTTGGTTTCCTGAGCAGGCTCGGAGGATGCCAAGGGGAAAAACCAAAACAGTGCAGGATGCACCGGGCTTTGCTAGCAGCAAGGGCATCTCGCAGCACGGCCTCTGCCCTCCCCTCCAAATGCTGCCTTGCCAGCAGAGCCATCAGCTGGCAAATTTGGGATGGCAACAGCTTATCTGCTGCTGGTGGCACAGGAGATGTGGCAAAATGATGGTTCCTCTGCCAGTCACAAGGCTTTCCTCCCATCCCCCAAAACCCAGGTGAAGGGAATAAAAATAAGAATGAATACTGCACCCAGATGCATAGCTACAACAAAAAAACCCGCTCAAAACCAAGAAAAAAAACCCCCACAGACAAGACAAATCCTGCTTTTACAGAGCAGGAGGCTGGGAACCACCCACATATTTGTCATTGTAGGCAAGAAATTCGGATGTCTTGGGAGAAGCCTACCTGCCAGATATGCCGCCCTCGCCCCGTCTCACCCCAGCTGCCCCTCACTGCCAGGAATGGGGGTGGCCCTGTCCCCCCTGCCCCCCGATGGCACCTGGGGAAGGGGGTGTGGGCAGGCTGGGCTGTGTGTTGGGGGTGGTGAAGGCAGGGAGCAGGCAGCAGACAGCTCTCCGACCTTCTTCTCTACCTTCCCTGGCCACCCTGGCATGGGGGAACGAAAGTGGCACATCCCTGTGCCTCCCTGAGCAGCTGCTGCCCCCCACCCGGCTGCACGGGGGGTGGCAGTGTGGGACACCCCATGGGGGCTGCTGCCAGCCCCCCACCGGGGTGAGCATGTTCAATACCGCCCTGAGCTTCACTGATAACCCGCTGCTGTCTCCCACCACAGAGCCAGCTGGCCGAGCTGCCCCAGACCTGTATGCATCCCACTGCCATCCCCAATGGATCAGCAACACCTCGCCTGTGCCTGACAGCACCGGAGCGCGGGACTGACCCCCGGGAAGATCATGGCGCTGCTCACTGTGCAGAGGCCACTTGTGTTTACACTCGGTGGCAGTCTCTGCTTACATAGCGCCTTGCTCCAGCGAGAGATTTACAGGCGAACAGCCTCTCACACCACCAATATGCACTGGGCCCCACTGGTGGAAATCACGGTGGGGAGAAGGGGCCAGGTGTCAGGGATGCTGATGGCTCCTGAGCCTGCAGGGGAGCCGTGCCCCCCTCTCAAAAACAGAGGGGAGGAAGGTTTCCATGGACTCTTGATGGCTGTACATTGCCTGGTGCAGGGCTGGGAGCACAAAGGGTGGGTCTGGCCATAGAGGAGCACGTGCCATGGTGCCCAGCCTGCACCCCCTGCCCTTTCCCCGTGCACCTCTGCCCTCTGCCTGCCTGGGGATGGAGGGAGGCAGCGTGATGCACCCCAGATGATCCCACTTCTGGGAAGGATCCCTAGGGGATCTCAAGGTGGCTGTGGGTTCAGGACAACCTCTGCTTGGCTCTGACCCACTCCAGATGTCCCTGTGCAGCAGCCAGAGCTGCAAGTGTGAGGGGTGGTGCAGAGCCCCTCCTCGGTCCCCGTTTCCGCACCTCGCAGCCCTGCTGAGGAGACAGCAGAAGTCTGGAGAGTTCATTTAGCAACAGAAGTCATTAAGGAATCACACTCAGTTGTCTCTAAGCCCTAACGAAGCCAATTCCCAACATTAATGATTGTTCTTTCTTACACTGTCAGCCACTAAATATAGCTGCCCATCCACTCAGCACACAGCGTTGATGTTATCTGCTCTGTTTTTACTGGCTCTGCTGCTCTCTGGAAGTTTTCTCTTATATCAGTGGAAAAGTTCTCTGCTCAGGGAGATGGAAAAAAACATCCATCTTCTTAACTTAATAATTTTTCCACTCCCCTTTGCCTTCCACCACACACGCACACATGTGCACACACACACACACTTGCCCTTCCTCATTTATTCACTAGGGCTCTCGTCTTAATAAAGAAATGCCTCCTGCTCTTGCTGTCGAATTTGTGGGTACTGTGTTTATGCACGGCTTGGGACATCGGTCAGTGGAAACCTGTTTTAATCCCTACAGAGTGGATAATTTCATGTGGGTGTGCTGCTGCACTCACACCTCCAACCTGGCCAGGTATAGCCCCCTCCTCTTCCCAACAGGGAAGACTCTACAAGGACCAGTTTTAGAGCTGTGTAGCAGAAATCAAAACCTAAAAGAAGCAAGAGTAAAAGTCATCTGGGGAAAAAAAAGGAGAAAATCCTTTCCAGAGAGCCTCCTAGAGGGCTGCCTGCCTTGCTCTGCCACTGCCGTGTCACAGCTCATATTCATCTCCAAAATCACTGACATTAACCGCTGTGGACAAGCAACACAGCTGGACTTTTCACAGATGGCAGAGATGAAAGCGAGTATTACACTCACTTAATCTGAATGCCACAAAACCAGTGTCAGCCTCAACCCCTTAATTGCTACCTGCCATTTCTCCAAGAAGATATCCCTGTCTTGATTTCAGGATACCCGGTGTGGGAGAATCCACCAATCCCAAAGGAAAATTATCCCCACGGTTTGTCTCCTCACTCTTTGGAATACGTCTCTTATTTTTAGCCAGGTATTTATCTAACCCCTTGCTTCCAGCCACTGGTTATACGTTTTCGTTATGGGTGAGATGCATCAACTCTCAAATGCAGCACAGTTTAAGCACACTTGACTGGTCTTGTAAGATCCCGACCCACTAGCTGAAAGATATTCCACCCACACAACTCTATTTGTATTATTTGCCTTGTGATCCTGGAGCCAGTAAGGTGCATATTTTCAGCTTTGCTCCCAAGCCAGGAGAGGAAGGATTTGCTATTATATTTAATGGCATCTGACTTTTCAGCTCATCATGTAGTTGCAGGAGTGGGGGCCATAGAACATCTCAATACTTCCTGCACAGTCTTTCCTCTTGAGCACCCTTTTGTGCTAGGATGTCCTCCAGGGAGCTAGCAATGGGCAGGAGCCCACTGGCACAAGCTGGCGAGCTCGCGTGTGAAGGGCTGGTGTGCCTGCAACAGCATCTGCCTGTGATGCTCAGGACCTCACTGTGCTGGGCACAGCAAACACTGTCAGCTACCCAGCCAGCGTGTCCTGGGGAATACAACAGGGAAATGGAGGCATACAGGCAGCAGGGCATGGGATGAAGGGCAAAAGAAACAACATGACTTTGGGATAGACTCAATGTGAGAACCCAGAATGAGGTTCAAACTGAATATGACATGCATGTTACAAGCCCCAAAAGACAAGGATGCTGTTTGCAAAATAGGTACCAGACCAGGCCCAGGAGAACATAGAGAGATGGTGTAAGTGAGGAAGGGTCATGAGGCTTTAACTGTCAGCTGAGAATATTGCAGCAGCTTTTCCATAACACCACAAGCCTGAGAAACAGATGAATAAGCAGCCTACAAACAAGCAAGCCCAAATTCCTAGTTGTTACACTATGGGTATGACTGTAAAATACAGTGTTACGCCCTGTGCATGTCCCTCCCGTTGGTAATGCTCCACAGCCTGCCTCACACCCCAGGGACGGAGTGGCGCACATGACTTCAGTCTCGGTCTCTACTTTTCCTTTACCGCCACAGCTCCCACCACACATACCTGCCAGAGACAGTTTTGCCCCACACAGAAATGCAGCTGCTTCTAGGGTAGAGCCCAGCCATATCTTACAGCCCATGAGCAGAGTAGGGGATGGGAACAGTACAGACATCATGTCCAAGTGAAAGCAAAGGCTGCATTGACCGAACTGGTAAAACAACTTTCAAAGTTAAGGGGAGCCCCAAGTCTGCTCTTCATCACAACAAAACCCCCAGATGCATTCCTGAAGAGGCAGGCAGGAAAACAAAATCCAAAATCAAATCAGGGGAAAAAAACTCTCAAACAGACTAATCTGATCTTCCCTGCAAAAGCAGATAGCTTTTCTCACCCCAGAGCAAGACAAACAGCATCCCCACTGACTGCTCAAAGAGCGAGGCGGTTTTTCTGAGTTCCTCACCTTTTGTCTTACTCTGTAGGTTTGATCACAGAAATGCCAGTTTCTATCCTTCAGGCTAGTATTAAGCTATTAAATGCACCATTTCACCTTGTTTTCCTTTTATTGACTGTCACCTTCAGAGCTCCTCATGGCAGTTTACTCTCCCACTTCTACCTCCCAACTCCCTTCCCCTTCCAAGCAGACTGGCCCCACCCTCCTTTGCCAGCAGCTTCAACACCACCACTGCCAGAGCATCTATAAGCTAGAGAACAACCTTCCCCCACACTAATGTAAGTCATTGCCACCTCATTTCACCTTTAATTGCCTACTGTTTTTTTGTTGATAACTACCCTTTACTCCTCAGCCTTCCCATTTTGGGCTCAGCTGCTCTTCAGGAGGCCCGGTGCCTCGTGATGGCAGGTTTCCTAATGCTATTCAGCCCCAAGACAGCGGGACTTGTCTGTTTGCCTGCTCCCTGTCACCTAGCAGGAGTCAGAGGGTGCCACCTCCTGCTGCTGCCTCGGGGGAGGTTTAGCACACGCTTGCCATTTCACTTCTCGGAACATTTGCTGTTCGTACAAGCACGCACATCGCTTTCCTTCAATGTAAAAGCCCATGCCAGCAGAAAGAAACCACCAAGAGAAGTGCAGTTTTACCTGGAAAGTAGTTCTCACCTGGGAAAGCTGTGATGGGTTCTGCAAAGGAAAAAAAAAAACAACCTAGTATTAGAGAGGGGAATATTACACACAGGGCCACAATTCATGTTTTTGTTGATTTGCAGTGGCCAAGCAGAGCAGGCGTGTGGCTGTGCCCCACAGAAGCCACTCGCTGGAAACAGCGCGGGCTGCTAGCCAACCTCACCAGGATGGGGGGCAACCCTGCCTCAACGGAGGAGCAGCCAGATGCAATAAGCTTCAACTCAGACACAGACTTCAGAGAAAAATATGTCTGAAGTTGAGGGTCATTTGGATTCAGCTGGCTGGCCTGAGTCATCCAAAGACAAAGCCCCACCTGGCCCAGTGATGAAACCCTGAAACCCCCTAAAATTTCCAAGAGCAGTTTGGTTTCTGGCTCAACTCTGGCATTGTTATTCACATGGGAACTGTGTTACTTCTGGGCATCGATGCCATACTCCTCTCCATCTCACGGTGCCAAGAAACAACAGCAAGTGATATTTTTCTTCTTTCAAGATACTTTGAAGTAATCTATTACAAATTACTGGATCTGAAAAGCAATAATCAGTACTTATTACCGATTACTTTCTCACAGAAGCAATAGACTTCTGATTATTTTTAGATTACTTCTGCATTATGCCTGTGAGTCACAGAAGCAGACTCTGGCTGTACTGAGGGCTATGAAATCATCACTCAAGTTCAGAATGTGAACTACACATCTGTCAAAGGAAAAAATTGTTGTGACTTATTAGCGTTTTTTCACACTAAAAAGGAACCAGATTACTTCCCAGGATTACATTTGAAAAAACAGTAGCCTGTGCTGGATTCAGCTATTCTCATGGCCCTGACAGAGAGAGAGCAGCACTGTATCTCTACCATTTCATTATTATTTTGGTGACATCGGAAATGACCCATGAGTTATGTTAAAGTTTGCAGTGGAAGCCCTTTGTTCGAAATGATCTGAAACAAACTATCCTTATCAGTTTTAAGATTCCCATTCAACTTCCTAGAATGGGACAAATAATTTTGTGTAGCAGTTTGGTGTTATTTTTAGAGCTGGCAATGCTTGAAACTTTATAATTTATTAATGCTTTTGTTTTGAAATATTAAGCTTTAGGTTCATGAGCCCCAAGATACAGTAACACTGGAGCTAGGTGAATTGCTGAGCTCAAAAGAAGTTAGATAGGAAATGCTATTAGTGTTAATCATCAGTCTTGCTTCTCTTTAATGCCATAGAAGGCAAGGGATTAAAACACCACTGTCAAGCTTTAAATACAGGGAATTTGACATATGGAGTATTAGCTTCTTTAGCAGATGGGAGACCAGCAGAGTTCAAAGCATCAAAGAAACTGGGACCGACGGAGCTCAAGAGCATCTCTGGGGCAGTCCCGGTACTCTGTTCTATTATTAATGCTGGTTCCTACACCATCTTCACCATCGCTTGCCTGCACAGGGTGGCAAGTGACATGACCAACCCTTCCCAGGCACAATTTGTCCCATGCCTCCTCCCCTGAGACACACCACTCGGAAGAGAGCGTCCGTCCCGCTTGGGTTAGGAGGCACTGGGATCCTCCCCCTCCTTTGGTGGGGGAGAGGAGAGCAGCTTCGCTGTGCGGGGCCTTTCAGAGCCCAAAGGGAAGAGAGACTCTGTTTCACCTGACTTCTTCCACTGACTTCAGCATGGGTCGGACACTTTGCGGGTGTTTAACAGTGAAACATGCCTCCCCAGGTCACGCAGAAGAGCAGCGCCTAGCTACTGTGGGCAGCTCTCAGCACAGATCCCACTAATTGAATACTGCTGGTCCCATCCTCAACTGGGATGGCTCTAAATCCACATCCAAGCTAGATGGAGACCAGAGCCATCAGAGTGCCTGCATGGGTGCGCCAGCTAGAGGAACAAGGCAGGGCAATAGTTCCACCAGCAAATTGCTAAAACACACTTTTTTCTCTCTCTTTTTTTTAAGTCCTCTCTGTCTTTCACATTGAATGAATCCACCTGGCTTTTGGCCTGGTTTGGGGAATGGTGAATTCTAGGACAAAAATTTCTTTTGTTATTCTGTTAACATTGCTGTAAAACCCCTCTGCTATTTTATTTCTTATTAGAGAACACTCCTTTTGAACTCATTGGCCCCTCTATGTGTGTAATACTGACTGACAGCTGGTTTCTTTTGTCCAGCACTTTCCTTTTAAATTTGGTGTATGTCCTTATCGCACAGAATACTCCTCGGTAACCCTCAGCTGCTCTTTCAGCTTTGCGCAGCAGAGACATGTGCTTCCTGCCTTTCACACCCAACACGGTCAGAGCCCCCGTCCCTCAGAGACTGAGACCCCGTCATTTCTTTCACAGGCAAGGAAAGTCCCAACGCCGGGGCCGGACACAACAGCACGTACCCATGCAGTTCTCCAGCGGGATGTCGGTGCCTAGCCGGATGTCATCGAGGGCGAGCTCTCCTGAGTGGCCGTTGCGTATAAATCCCTCAAACACAATCTGTGAGAGAATGGGACAGAAATGTGAATGCTAAGCTGGGAGGCAGGAACCAGCTGCTGCTCCAGAGGGAAAGGGCAGGAGATCTGCTCCTGGCATTCCCTGAACACCTGCGGATGACCTGAGACTAGTCCTGCTTCCTTGCCCTGCCTCTGCCACCCCTACCCCAGGGAAAGCTGCTCTGCAGGGATGGGTTTGGCAGAAGGACTGTTACCTGGCCTGGTAGCACTTGGCTTGCAATTTGTTCTTGCAAATGTCTCTCTCATGGAATAAAGACTCAGTGAATCAATGTTCAGCATCCCAGGCCACCCTCCAGCCCTTGCACAAATGATGCAAGTGGCATAACACTGACTTACAGCAGCAGCAGATTTGGCCTGTGGTATTAACTGGACTATGATCAGAAAAAGGAAGGGAAGGACACAAAATGCACAGCTACATTAACTGTAAAGTGCTGTTCCCATCAACATTACATAAGAAGTATTGAAATGTTAGAGGAGAAGGGTCAATTTATTCCTACTTAATCACAGGCAAAATATATTTACAAAAATAAATAGAGTCGTTAACTCTAAGAACTGCTGAGTGGAGAGACTGGCATTATTTACATAATGACGCTGTTATTTAGCTAATGCCAGTATATTCACATTTAATGCACAAAGTAGTCAGCCAGCGCCTATTATTCTTATCTGTAGGCATATTGCATTTACTGGTATTTTATTAAAAAGCCAAACACACACAAGTAAACTAGTCATGCAGCTCTGGTGCAAAGCTTTTGCTTTCTATCTCCCTGACTGCTCTCGAGGGTCCAAATAATTTCCTAGGGCTACGTATTTCACAAACATCCTCTCCCCATTTTAGATGCCCCCTTTCTCTGGGGTGGCTGGGCAGCCTGATCCTATGCCTGCCTGCAAGGAGACCTCCCTGAAGGGCCAGGTGTCTGTCTGAGCACAGGACAGAGAGTCAGAGCTGCTGGTCCCAAGCGTGAGCCATCAACCCATGCAGGAGGCAGCAGTTTGGAGGGGTTAGTGGCCTGAGAGCAGCAGCACCCTGGGTCAGGGTCGGGGCTGGGAGCCAGCCAGACCAAGGCTCCCTGCTGGGGTGGTCGTCAAAGCACTGCCTCAGGCCTGCAAGTGAGTGTTTCCTTCTGCTTTGGAGGGTGCTGGATGCCACACTGATGCTTGTTAACAAGTGACAACAGCAGCCCTGGCTCCCTGGCAAACGGCGCACTGCTCGGACGTGCTGCTTGGAAGGGCTAACCATGCCAAAGGCACTCCTGGAAGCAGCAGCCTCTCCGCGGGGCGCTGGCATGGCATGCCAGAGGGGCTCAGGCAGCTGTGGTGAGCAGCTCCGCTCCCTCCAGCTCATCCCTCCTCTTCCACTCATCTCTTGACAGTGGGACTGGGCCTTGATCCCACAGCACTGCACCCAGCCCTGTGATCTGGTCTAAAGTATCTGAGAAGCTGATTCACAAACGAACCTGCATTTTCTCTTCCTTCTCCCACATCAGCACTTGCAGCCGAGGCTGGAGAAGGGCTGTTTGTTGCCTACCCTTAAGAGCTGGCCGTGCCCCCTCCCAGCTTCCCACTTCTCCTGGCTGCAGGGTTTGGGTTTGCTCCCTGGAGCTGCGCACCTGCCTCTGGTCAGATGATGATGACCCTGAGCTATCTGATGACCCTCAGCTGAGGGGGGGAAAATGCACAAAACAAAATGAAAAAAAAAAAGAAGGGAAAATATTTGCAAAGTGGGAGATTTAAGGAATATAAAAGGCAACAGGCTGAACAAAGGCCTAAGTCTGTGCAGAAGACAGGCACTCTCTGAATAACAAACAGTGTCGTTTAGTTACTATAGTAACTCCAGAAACACAATGAAAACAGCCACATTCCCTAATGATTAATAGGCCCTGGCTCTGAAACACTGAAATAAAGATGCTGGAGATGCCTGCCTGGCCCAGCACACCTTCCCTGAGCATCTTACCCGATACTCAGTGTCGTAGCTTGGCAAGATGATGCGTCCTTCCCTCCACTCCTCCCCTTGGTCCTCCGTGATGACCCACAGTGCCTTGTGCTCCTGGCTGGCTTCCCGCCAGACCCGCAGCATCACCCCATTGCTGCCCCACGCCTGGTACTGGAAGACCATGCAGACAGCGCTCCGGGGCAGATAGATGGTGGGGCTGATGAGCCGGGCTCGCTGGCCTTCCCTCCTTCTGCTGCTCTGCAGCTGCAGGTAATTCTTGCGGTCTGTTCAAAGAGGAAAACACCACTATATTATTTTCTGTGGCCATTTGCAACACGTGTCTCACCTCCTGCCAGGTGGCTTGGCAGTGCTGGGCAGGCTCTCACACCCATGCCTGCAGGAGTGGGGTCTCACACCGGCACCCTTGGTGTGCACAGCAAGCCGTGCCACTGCTGCGCTCTGGGCAGCCTGGGCAAGCCATTGAGGAGCACACTTCCCTCACCAGCCACTACCGTCTGGTAGGAGACCGACAGCAAAACCAGAAAGCGGTAAGCCGAAGATTGATATAATTAGGAGAAGTTAAAGAGCAGTTATTGTCAGAAGAAGCGACACCACGATAATGACATTGTGGGGGGGTTGTGCTTATTCTGCTGGGAGCTTGCTCAGTGAACAAGCCTGAGGTAGGTTTTTCTAACCGCCGGTGCTGAAAACTCATCTTGGGATGGGGATCTCAAGCTGTGTTCATCCTGCCTCTTTTCATCCCCAGCGGTAAATACTCCACAATCAGGGTCTAGCTGACAATTTTGTTTCGAGGATACGCATGACAAAATGAAAGCCTGGCTCTCGGTTTTTCTGTAATGCAGCAAAACAGCCCCTAAAGCACAGTACAGAGGAAGGATGTGATCCCAGTGAGTGAAGTATGCACAGGTGACAACTGGGTAGCTGCAAACTTGAAGGCAGCTGAAATATATACAGCAGGGGATTCACTTGCTTTAATATTACATTTTAAATTGTGCCATGCTTTTTGTCAGTCCTCAGGGAGGAGATTTGGTACGTTTGATATCCCAGGAGAAGTTCAAGGCTGAGACTGGAATTGGAGATACTTGATCTGAATACCAATAGCGGCAAAAGCCCATGGATACAAATCCCTGGGCATGGCTGATTTGGTCTGGAATCAGTGGTTTCCAGTCCTCTCTGATGAGAAACCTCCTCAAGGAGTTCCCCATTTGCAGCTTGGATGCCTGAAGTCCCTTAGCACAGACTGAAAGCCAAGCATGTAGCTGATCTGATCCTTACCTGCCCCCGACTGCAGTGCCTGCAGTACAAGGTGACACAGACAGGCCAACGACGGATATCACTGTATTTTGCGTTTCACTCGCCAGAGGGATGAACACGCTTGCTCTTGCTACACCGTGGGCAAGTGTCAGTGGTGCTTCACGCCAGCATGCGCGAGCCCTCCTGCAGCCCAGCGGGGTCACCTCTGCCCCAGGACCACAACTAAGGGTCTGTCACTTCCTTTCCCCACGTCTTAGCCCGCTGTGCTTGACGGACAAAGCTCTGAGCAGCAGCCTGCATGCTGCTTGCCCTGCTCCCTCCAAGGTTTCAGTGCCCACAGCAATGGCAGAAGAGCAGCGACTGCACTGAGAATGTTTGCAAAGTGCACCCAAAACATCTCCAAAACTTAAACCAGAGAGACCTGAACTTAGAGCCCAGTTTCCGAGCACAGAAAGACAGGTCCTACACAGAAAACAGCAGCTGACCTCACTGCCACTCAGCAATCTAGTGACATCCCAGCCCAAGGGAGATGCATCAGTGGTTGCACAGCCACTGGCCCTGCCGCAAGTTTGTCACTGCCAGAGAGCTGGGCTGAAGCCAACCACCGTGAGCTACACAGCTTTCTAAAATAAATTTAGGACAAGACAGCAGAAAGATTTGCCATCACTCTACTTCTGGGATGTATGATCAAGATATTGCAAAAGCGTATCCACTCCATATGAACTTTCACTGATTTTGCTGCGTGAAGGACAAATCTGTCCCTGACCGGCCACATAAAGAAAGAGCAACATTTTCCAGCAATATTTTCTAGCACCTATGAAATATACTTGGGCCACTTGGCCCTTTATGCCAACAAACAGTAGCAGAAAAAAAGATGAAAGCATGTTTGCCCACTCCTGCTTGAGTGAATCACTTGAAAAAGTACCATGCCGTTCTCTAATGGAGGAGTGTTCTTGTGATTTACCTTGGAGTGGTAGTAGTGGAGGAGGAGATGTGGGAGATAAACAAGCGGAAGAAGAAAAAAAGAACAAGCTGTACTCCATGTCTAAGGAGCAATAAGGCATAATAAGTCATCAAGGTCTCCTGAATTAAAATCCTCTTTTTGTAATTCACTACAAGCCTCTTCAAAGAAAAAAGCAACAATAAGAAGAAAAAAGCAGCAACAACAAACAAGGTGGAAGAGCAAATCAGACTACGATCATACAATTATCTCACAGCTGAAATGGTCTCACACGCAAATCCTTAATAAAAGCACCAGGCAGACTCAAGAAGGATCAAATCCAGATCCTCAAAATTCAGGACCAAACTTTGGTGCCAGTATCTAGGCAGCCTGATTGAGTGCAGGGATGCGAGCCTCTCTTGGATCCACCCAAAGCCCACAGCTGACCGCAGGAGATGATGTTAATTGTGCAGCTGGACACCCACCACGATCCACACCCCTCACTGGGAGCCGGTGGTACCCAGCCTCGCTGCTTCCATCACTTCAGCAAAAGAGCCTGTGTGCCTCTGAATCACATCCCTCCCACCAGGGATGACACCGACCTCTGATTTGTTCCAATTCCTATCAGGCTGTGAAATCAAAGAAACTCCTGAACTGCAGCCAAAACCAATGCCCCTCCAACCACACAGGCTCTTTCAGATCTGCAGGAGCCCTCCCAAACCCTGCATCTTCTGTGCTCCCTGCCCAGCGCTTGCTTCCCCACAGGGTCTGGGGGCAATCCCAAGGGCTGTGGGGAGGCTCAGTCTTTGGGTGATGAACCCAGCTGCTCCCCTGCAAATGGCAGTGGGTTTGGGTACCACGCGCTCCTGCTCCTGGTAACAGGAGCTTCTGGAACGGAGAGTGGAGCGCAAGCAGACACAACTTTCTGTGTCATTTGAAGATGAAATGGCTGGATCACTCTAATGGCTAGTTGGACCTTCTGAACAGCCCTGCAAATGTGCTGAGATTGACTGAACAAGGGCACTGTGGAGCTAATTGTTGGAACAGCACATGGGAGCCTGGTGGTTCCAGTAGTTGCTCTGTTTGATACAGTAAATGGAAGCCTTTGGCACAGAAAGCACCTGAAAGGCTGATTTCCCCTGCTAAAACACTCGAAGGGAGCCTTGCAATGACGAGCTGATCAACTCTTCCAGGATCAGAAATGCATTTTAATCTCTTCCCCAGAACTTTGCTTTGCAGCCTCTATTCCAGCTAACACGGCAGCTACATCCCCCACCAAACTGGCACTGGTAGTTCAAAGTTCTGGCTCAAAAAAGGCAGGACAAATCTGCTCAGGCATTTTAACCTACCGCTGTTTTTGCAACCAATACTATGGCATAAATCTCATGGAAGATTTATGGGATCATCTGGATGTAGGGGAGCCAGAGGAGCGTGAACACACAACCATCCCCAGCCAGATGATGGCAGAGTCGCTTGTATGTGCACGGCAGTGAGTCCCAGATAAATCACCAGCCGGGCCCTGCAAACAAACCATCTGGCCAACACAGTTTCCTCTTGGCATGCCCATCGCCTCCTGCTAGCAAGCCATCTGAGAGGACATTAGGGGCAGCGGGGGATGAAACCTCGCAGTTCGGGTCAGGCTGCAAGCACGAGCCATGGCAGTCGCCCCCTCTGCAAGGTCAGCCTGCCTGTGCTTGGGTCCTGCACATCTCACCCCCTCTCCCAAGAAAAGCACCTTCCCTCATAGGTCTCAGCAGCATATCTGGAGTTTTTCCAGCAAAACATATCAGGCAGGATGTACACAAGCAATTACTGAGATTTCATATTCCCTCTGCATTTCCCTCTCATTGGATATCATTGAGTTACAGCTGCTGCTCCTATGGAGGACCCACGCTGAACTGCCTTCACTTACGTCCCTCCAAAGGTCACCGCACTCTTCATTGCAGAGCTTGTTTCATGGTGTGTTTTAGTGGCAGCACCACAGCTCACCAGCAGCCACCTCTTGTCTGCCAAATCCCATAGGTGACATCTCTGCTCTGGGCCCTGCCTGCTGCCTGCACAGCCCCAAATGCCACCCCTGATGGGGCTGGGGAGACGTCCCGGTGGGACCAGATCCTGCCGTCCTTCTGGGGCGTGTGAACTGGAGGCTGCATCAGCCCTTGCCTTTCCCGGGGAGCGGATCAGCTCAGATCCCCTCACGACTGCAGGGTGCTCTAGTAGCAGGGGGATGGCAGCTGCATGAATATGCAGATTGAAATTGGATAGTTATTATATTTTTAATTTTTTTGGCAAATCATGCAAATTCACTTCAAAAGGCTGCCGCCGTAATTTCAGTGACAGGCCTCTCCTCAATGACAGACTTTCATTTACGAAGGGAAATCAATCCTCCGTAAAACTAATATTTATATTAACTAGATCACTGCGTCTGCTGGAAAATCCCCTCAATTTTGATTATGTGTTAATTATCCTGCCAAGTCCTTGCCATTTCAGTCTCTAAATCAGTCCGTGAAAAGGCATAAAACCCCACACCTGCCCAGAACCAAGCCCTCCGCCTGCTCTCCGGAGCCTTTCTAATGGACAGGCCATTACATCCTCTCTCTTAATTAAGCCTCACGTCCTCAACATCGCGTCGCAATTGTGAGTCCTGCTGCCTCCCCCCTGGGAGCGCAGGGAGGGCACAGTGTCCCTGACAAACCAAATGCCAATTAGAGCCTGACATTTATGCTAAGTGAGCTGCTTGCCACCGCGCTGTATCCACCGCCAGCCTGGCAGGCACCCTGCATGCCCCTACATCAAAGAGTGTGTGCAGACCCACGCGTGCCCAGCATTTGTGCATGCACAATTAAAGGCATTAACGGAGCCAGCGCTGCCACCACACAGGCTGCACATTGCGGCTTGCTTGCGCGCACACATGCTTTCCTGAATCGGGCTCTGTGACTCACAGGCTGCTAAGTCACTGCTGCGAAGCGATGGAGTGATGCACGCGCTAAGATTTGAGAGACGGTGTCTTGCTTTGCAGAGAGCGTTCCAGCCCGGTTTTATAGGCAGTGTGTGTCACTGGTGTTTGGGTCCAAAAAGTGACTAAGGACACAGACAGGCAAGCAGTGAAGAAATGGGTGAGCCCCAGAGGAATGGTTTCTTCTCCTCTGCCTCCAGCCCGGCCCAAGCGAGCAGGAGCTTTGCTGGCAGTGCAGGGACAGACCATGGACATGCCCCTTCTCTCATGAAAGACAATACAGCAGGAGGATGGCCACGGCCTGGCCACAGCGGCCCTAGCCCACGGCCAGGGCACTCACGCAGCCCAGCCAATGCTCAGCAAACCTCCCGTGATCTGGGTGCTGGGGTGTCCCAGCTCCACCATGCTGCGGGCAGCCAAGGCACAAATGACTTTTTAGGGTTTGCTGTCCTCACTGTGCAAACAAGGGCCAGGAGAACCGTATACAGCTTTGCTGAGAGGCAATCTGCACCACACCCGGGGGGAGTGGGGAGAGATGGAGCTGGGTATGTGGTCTCCTTCCCACAGCGTGCAGCTGCTCACTCATTGCACAGAAGTGCTTGATTTTCACACCACCCCACATGCAAAACTCCCTACTACTTCAAAGGGGACAGGATTGACCCTAGAGGTCAAAACGTGTCCCCAAGGCACAAGCCCTGAGAGTAAGTCTCATGAGAGTAAGTGCAGACCAGCCCTGCTCCATTAACACCATGAAAACCTTTCTGCTGGTTTGGACAGAGTAGGATCAAGCCCTTCAGGCAGAAGTTCTCATGGATTGCAGGAAAAATATGAAACTTTCCCCTTTAAAGATCCCATGGGAAAAACACAGGAATGGTAAAGGGTCACCATCAGCTTAAAAACAGCTCAACGTTTGTTTTCCTTAAAAAATAAGCTCTTAGGAAACTTCAGAGCACTACAAACATTCCTCTGCTGGAAACGCTTTGAAACAAATAAACCTTTCCCTGCAGCGCCTGCAACCCAAATGAGCAGCATTCCTGACCCTCAAAGCCAGTGAGGCCATGGCCCACAACAGAAGCTCTTGGTGGGTTTTTGCAGCCCAGCCCAAGAGCTATGTGGTCAGGAGAACTACAAGGTTAAAATCGCTTCCTTTTCTGCATGCATGTACAGCTGCCAACATCTGAACAACACGGGGTTCACAATGCTGCCAGGGCTCTGACCCCGACACCGTGCTCACCCAAATGAGAAGCAGCACGTGGTAGAGGTGCAGACCCCACAGTGATCTTCTAGGACCACAAGGTATTTACTTAATGACTGCAAGAAAAGGGGAGGGGAAAAAAAATGGGCAAAACACACCGATTCCAGCTTTTCAGTGCTGGCTTATTAGCATAGCGTCACTGAGAGCAACGCAACTGCACTGACCAGCTAAGGATACGACCCAGGATCTTTACACCCTTTAGGATCAAGACCCCAGTGAAATTCAAAGATGGTGAAGAGTTGAGGTGCCCAACTTACCAACCCATATTTATTTTCAGGTCTTAAGACCTCTATCTTGACACCAATGACACATTGCCATTGCGTGCAGCAGGAGGGGGGATGAAACCTCATTGAAACCTGAACTTGTTGCTACTTGAAGCTTGCTAGGTGCAGCTAAGGGGAATCTTTCTACAGATAGGAAGCATCTGAAAATCCATAGAGGGAAAAATCCTGGCAATCTCTTGTGAGGGCATGGAAAAGGGAGCAACAGTATTTTCTAGGCTTGCAAAGGGCAGGGTAACAGCTGGAACCATGCTGGGTTTCTGCTGAGTTGGGCACTTTGGGTCCACTTTCACCAATGGGGTCCCCAGACGTGTAATGGGAGCCTGCAGGAGAGGACGTGGAGCTAATCCATGGTGCGAAGAGCCCAAGGAACACAGGGCTAAAAAAAGAAATGCAGAGCTGCCTGAAAGAGTATCTTGGAAATAAAAATAGTGGAATGAGAGCAGTGGGTGTCTTGTCAGTCTCGAGAAGTTCTCTGCGCCAAAGATGAGGAAGAATTGCATGCAGCGCATAAAATGAAATTGGGAGATATCTGAGGAATTCAGGCCTGTTTCTCAGCAGACTCTTCTAATCAAGTGCCTCACAGAGGACATTTCACCATGGTCATTTCCTTCCCCCTCTCTCTCATGTAGACTGAGCCAGGGCTCCTCCTTTCATTATTATTTTTTTCTCCTTTAGTTTTAATTTTTGTTTTTCCATTTTCAGAAGAAATAGAAACACATCCCACATGGCCCTTAAAGGCACAGCACATTTCCTTGCTACCGCGGAACAGCCACGGCCTCTAGCCAGGGCCAGCACCTTTAAATCAGAGTAAATTGGGCTCTAGCGGCTTTGAGTTCCCGTTAGCTTTTGCCCTGCCCCTAAACCAAGCACAGCTGCTCTCCTTCACCCAACTGCTCACCCCAGGGTGGGGAATTCACACGAAAAGACCACCCCGAACAAGGGCTTTTCATTCCTTGCTCCCTGGAGTCTGAGGATGAATTTTCTAAGTAGAAACAAAGTGCTGGAGGGAGCATGAGGGAAAGGCAGGGGAAGAACGGGGGAGTGTGAACCAAACAATGCTTCGATTCTGTCCCCGCCGAGGGGCCGGCATTGCCTCTTTTTCATGTTTCTTGAGTTGCTTTTAAAAGCTGTGCAGGGAGGAAAAAGGCAAATAGTTGTTTCCTTTTGTGTCATGTCGTCTTAATTTCTAAGAGCAGGACCAAACCGAGTTGCGGCAGCGATGCCTGTGCATGCCAGCCCCTCCACAGCCCTGGGCTGCGTGGGCAAGGCAGCAGCATGGCTGCTGGGAGGA